GTACTTTTACTTAAGTACTGATTTGACACCAGTACTTTTACTTGTAATTGAGTATTATTTCAACAATGTACAAATTTTCAGTACTCTTTCCACCACTGAAAATAACATTGCATATTTGACTGTATAAATTAAAGATTAATCCTTATTAAAGTTACAAAAGTTATTCAAGAGCAGTGAGAGATTTCCGTGTTGTTGCTGTTTGATTAACATTAAGAAAGTGCTGTCACTTTAAGAGAATGCACTTATCCAGTGCACTGATACTGTACGTTCAGCCGACGATGTATGCTAGGATACTCACCAAGACGGGCATTTTGACAATTTTTGTGTGAATTTGTCCATTCAAACACAATACTTCACAGAGAGAGCTTAATATTTGCGCGCGTTCTGAGATGCGGGTTCACGCGCTTCGGATGAGTGACCACACAGATCTTCTCACTGTGCGCGCGCGTCTTCTGGATCTTTAATATTTAAACTGGCAAGGCTTAAATGAGTTTAGTTTAAACACAGATAGCAACGTGTGCTGTTCAGGTCTCACCTGCGCTATCAACACGTGATGACGGCATAAATGACAGTTATTCCAGCATAAAGCACTCGCATTGAATAAAGGGGTCATATGATGCGATTTCAATTTTTCCTTTCTCTTTGGAGTGTTACAAGCTCTTGGTGCAAAATAATGTTCTTTTTAGCAACATCATATGACCCCTTTAATTTATGGCATAAAAGTTGAGCGCTTCATATTTATTAATACAAAGAGGAAAATATAGCCTGTACAGATACAGAAAGCGTATTTAGAAAAACATCAACTGCCGTTTTTGCAAACAGATATAGTATAGGTAATTCTCATCACATTACAGTGTGGTCGAGGGGATTCCAGACAGAAGAGTTAAAGCTTTCACAGTGACAGAAAAAAGCCTGTAAAATACCTGAGGTAGTAACAAGATAATGAAAACTACTGAAGCAGCAGAACATTAATTTCATAATTTTGTCAAAGGACTCACACGCAGAAGCATGTGACATAGGCCTGCATATAAATATATTGATTATTGCGACAGGCCTAATGTGACAAGCAACAGCAACCTACTTCAAGAAAAACTAGAAACGTGCGTCCGCTCGACAACCACATTTATTCATTTTGCAAACGCTCTAAAGCTTGCACATTATAAAAGAATCCGTATGGAAGCAGTAACATGCAGCGAGCTAAAATACAGAGAGAGAGCTAAAGCATTTTCAGGAGAATACGGGATAGAGAATGCAAAGGAAAACAGAAAAATTGATAGCCATACAACACAAAGAACCATCCTCAACACAACATGCAGACCAGCACGGTGATAAATATACATTACGCTGTTAAGCAAATTACAAATAATGCAACCAACGCTAGCTAACATACTTTGTAATTCTTTTCTTAACCATTTTAGGGGGGGGTGCACCGTTCCCGGAAGTACTGCAATACCGGGTCGATGCGTGGAGTGGACGGAGCAAGCCCCTATTCCATCTCCCTGTTCCAAAAATCAATTTAATATATGGTGCCCGGGTAGGGCACGTATCAGATATTAAACTGATAAGAACAGATACTACACTTGATCTTAGCCAAAAGGCCGAGAAGCGATGCCCACAAATGGTCAACAGCAGGAACCACATTCTTTGAGACAGTAAATATGACGACGGCAAGTATTTTATTATCGTTTCTTCTTAACCTAAAAGCCTCTTGTACACAATGTTATCATGACTACACACTCATATTACCACTTGTTAATATCGTTTAGTTTTTTCAAAAATCGGTAATTTCTATAACATGACAGGACGAGTGTGTATTACAATGAGGTACTTGTTCGCCAATCAGAAACATGGATGCAATTCCAGGACTATAATAAAATGAAGCTGTTGTCAACATCAAAAGTATCAAACGGAAATGAAAATAAAGTCACTTAGAACATGACAGCAAAGGTAAAATTCACGGGATTTATTAAGTTAACGTGAAACATTGCCTTCAAACACGGAAAGGGTCTGCCCCCCAGTGGACAAAAAAATAACTGCCCTCCAAACAGCTCAACGTTGACGCAGGTAAAAATCAATCATGTATAAAATATAAATAACAACAATAATACTTATAGGGAAACTAATACTTTATACAAAACAACGCTATGACTAAATAAGTACATACATCGTGCTTTTTTCTGATAAACCTATAAGCACATGCAGTGTCTCCTTCCTCAACCTTAACACTATTAATACATTTTACAAACATTTCATCTTAAATTTACTACATGCACACACAACCACTTGTGTATCTTCCAGTCAATATATTTAGAAATGAACTAAACTAGCTGTACAAGTTTACCACGCACAACTAGCGAAAATGTCAAAGGCCTAATTATAGGCTACTCATCTTCATGCTAATTACATAGGCTAACTGAATTTGCTGGTAATGTCATCCACCAACCCACATATTTTATGTCAGACAACGCAACAGTTAAAACAACACCTCGATGTTATAAACTCATACGTTTTGAGAGTTCATACAACTTGTCCTACATGTTAATTGGATGGCGTTACCTGAATTTGAACTAGCAACATCGAAACACAACCCATTGAGAACAAATCGTCGACATCTTCGACAAAACATATCAAATAACATTTGACTTTCGGTTAATATTACACAAAACTTGTTTTAAATGACTTACCTTGCTTTGAACCCGAGCAGTTGTAACACTTGTTACGCTCAACGGTGCAAAACTTCAGGCGAACTCCAAACGAACTCACGTGCGCCCCTTAATGACGTTACAGATTTACGTAGCCTACAGATTACACACAAGGCCAAATATTTAAAAAAGTATTATTTTTTTTTTAATTATTTTATACATTTTATCAACCTTTAAAGTTTCAAAGAGTAGTATTTTAATTTTCGCAAAAGTTGACTAGTTACACTTCATTATTAAATCTTTTTTTATATATATATATACATGTATATCGGAAATGTATAAACAAGTTTTAAAGGTGGGGTAAGCGATTTCTGGTAGCCAATGTTGACATTTGAAATCACCAAAACAAACACGCCCGTACTCAATAGGTATGCAACCCAGGCAACGATTAGTTCTGTGAAACAAAGCAAAACCAATGTTACACCGTGTCTACACCAGACGCGAGAACACACCGCACCGGAATACTATAGAACTCGTAATCAGTGATGCTGTCTACACCATAGATATAT